CGGAATGTTCTCTCCCCGCCCCTTGGTCCTCGCCCCGCCCCTCACCCTTAGCCCCGCCCCTAGGCCATCGCCCCGCCCTGGGCCCCGCCCACGCCGAGCGCGCGCCCACTGCGTCATTTGGCGCCAAACCCTGAGGTCAGCCTTGCGCGCTTGTTGGTCTCCTAGTTCTGGTGCAGTTAGAATCCTGTCAGCTGGGGATTGGGACGCGCGCGCGGGGGCGGAGGGCTTCACCGTGAAAATCTCGGACAGACTGTGGGTACTGGGTAATGAGTGAAAAAGGGAAAGCGCGTTAAGAATCTGAGGGGACACCCAGGCTTCGAGAACCCCGTGCCACCTTCCGGCGCCCTTCCTTGGTAACACCGGGTGGTTGTGGCGCTGGGGCTAGGGAGCCTGGGCTCGGGGCGCTGCATTCCGCCCCACCCGGCACGGAGTCATTCCCAGCATCCTCATTTTAGATGAAGTCGGGCCGAGTCTGGAAGCGGCGTCCTCTGTCTCTCAGGGAATCCGGTGTCAGGAAAATGTCCCGACCAGCCTTCTGCTGAGGGAGGCTTCGAGGGCGACCGAACCCCGCTCTTCTGACCATAAGGGACAGCCACGGTGGTCCTAAAGCCGGGTGTCTGGGGGGCCCTACTTAAGATCCCGCACTTCCTACTTGAGAAGGATGGGGGACAATTTTTTACGTTTTATCACGAGGAAATGGATTTTCTTCCCCCTTCAGTGAGGACAGTGAATGTGGAATGTTGGTGGGTCATGCACAGTATTCCAGAAGATTCCATTCAAACCGACCCCTTTGTCTTCTATGCTGTTTGAAAGTACTAGGTGTCAGTGATCATATTCTGTCCTTAGCTCGTTCCCTTTGTGCTAGGCTCCAACCTCAGACTTTTGTATTAAATGAGTAAGCGGAATAGACCAAGAAAAATGATTATTTGGACCATATTTTATTTTGATGAACACTGACATGCCTTATAGCTCCGTGAGATTTAAAAACAACTACAATGTTAAGCACTTAACTGCTTATTGGCCCTGACTATAATATTGAATATCCACAATATACTTTTTAAGATGTACTCAAAAAAATAGGTTTTGTGGGCTTGCTGGAGAAACAGAGAGAGAAAGTGAGAAATCATCCCCTGAGAGGATGGCCACACTGCAATCCTTCTCCTCCATTCTCCTCTCAGGATTTTGGGCACGCACATACTCACTTGGTGTGTTTCAAGCCACTGGGTCCAGGACTTGAACTGCAGTCAGCCATGTGGAAATTCAGCACCTTAACCACCATGCCACTTGCTGGCCCTAATCCACAATATTTTTAAATCTTAAAATTATGAAACTGGTAAATTCTGTGAAACAAAGTATAGCGAATGTTCTGAGAAACAAAAAGACATTTGTAAGAGTGCCATTCATAATCAGCAATCAGGAAGCCATTCATTCACATGAGAAAAATAAAATCTTTTTTTTTTTTTGAAGAGGTTTTTGCTATAGGGCTCATGTGCTCACCAGACAGACAGTCAGAGACAGAGAGATAGAAAGGGAGAAATCACCCCCCAGGGGGGATGGCCCCGCCGCAATCCCTTTTCCTCCATTCTCCTCTCAGGATCTTGGGCACGCACGCACATGCACGCACTCGGCATGAGTTTAAGCCACCGGGTCCAGGACTCGAACCACGGTTGACTACGTGGGAGTCTAGCGATATAGCCATTACGCTAACTGCTGGTCCTAATAAAATCTATTTTTTGAAGGTAGACTAACTTCAAGGTGCCAAGGAGGACATAGGGAAGGATGATGTTATGTGAAAGTTTTGAGAGTGCTGTTTAACATAAACCTGGAAGGTTAATTGCAATATGCAATTTGAAGTAACATCTTGAGCAAAATTAAGATTATCATACAGTCATGATTAACTATGCAACAGGAAATCAGAAGATGATATAAAAAAAGTGAGCTGTGTTTAAAAAAAAGTGAGAGGTGGGACCAGCAGATGGTATAATGGTTAAGTAGCTGGACTCTCACTTAGTCAACCGCAGTTCAAGTCCTGGACCCTGTGGCTTAAAACTCACTCCGGGCACGTGTGCATGTGTGCCCAAAATCCCAAGAGGAGAATGGAGGAAAAGGATCATGGTGTGGCCATCCCCACGCCCAGAGGTGATTTCTCACTTTTGGTCTCTTTGTTTATCTCTGGTGAGCACATGTGCCCTATAGCAAAAATCTCTCTCAAAAAAAAAAAAAAAAAGAAAGAAAGAAAGAAAGAAAGAAAGTGAGAAGAAACCAATGAAGTGTCCCCCCTCAACACCCACTCACCCACAAAAGAAATAATGTCACATGCCCAGCAGGAAGGAGATGGGTTAGCCCAGTCTTTTATTATATTAAATTTTGTTCCAGGTGCATGCACTTGCTGGAGAGAGAAAGGAGAAGTGATAAAGCACCTCCAGGGGAATGGCTCTGCTGCAATCCCTTCTCCATTCTTCTTTCAGAATTGGGTCAGCCCAGTCTTTCTAGATTAAATGTTTCTCCTATCCTTCTGTCCTTGGTAATTTTTAAATGAAACCAAGGAGATCTCAGGCAAAGGATTTTTTTACTATATGATCTACCTCTTAAGTAATATTTCTTATTTTTCCAGAGTTGATTGTTTTTCTGCCGTTCACCTTTCAATATGAAGGAGGATCAAGTTGTTCTGGAAGAACCAGGATTACAAGATGAAGAGGTATGTCTAGAATGTTAAAAGATATGTAGACATTCAGTCATTCCACAAAAATCAAGTTTGTTCTCTGTTAGCTACTATATTTAGAAACTGAGATAAATAAGACATAGTTGTATATTAAAAATATGTAAGAACTTGTTCAGTGATGGGTGCGAAGATTAGCTACTTAGCAACTGATATGAAAGTATTTTTATAACTTAACAACTGGTATGGCCATACTTGTCCTATGCACATTGGTACAGTATAGCAGCCTGGTTCAAGAGGAAGGAGTTCAAGTTCTGGAGGGGAAAATGTATTTAAGAAAGGTCAAATGTTGTTTCATTCCTTTGAGTAAAGGTTTTAAAATTTTAGGAAGGTCATGAGAAAGGTAATTTGTTTCTGAATTCATTCAATGTTGGTGCTTCTTCTAAGGTAACAATGTGTTTGAAAAAGCATTATTGACCCTTCCTCAATCTATCTAGAAAAGTGGAGTTTGAGGTATTTTGGAATGACTCATTTGATTGAATTAAGTCTTTAATATTAATCACTTGGATATGAAGAATCAATTCTTTTCTGTTCTATCTCCTTTAGGAATCTTTGTTTCAAGACATTGACCTGTTACAAAAACATGGAATTGTAAGTAGTTTTTCAATGCTGGGTTAAATTGTCTCAGCATCAGCTTTTTAAAAAAATTATAATTTTACATTCAATCACTGTACATCCTTACAGCATACAAAATGGATTTTCTCATCATGAATATATTGTATATTAGTCCAAAGATATACATTATCATCACCAGATAATTTTCCATTTTTATATTTGTTAGATGGTTTTGCTTCTTTTTTTCCCCCTTGATTCCCTCCCTCCATTGTCCATTCCCTCCCACACTGGCTTTGCTATCTACAGTTGCTCTCCAAGCCTTTTTACCTTCCAGTCTTTCAGTTTCTGTCATGGAGTACATTCAGTATATATTAAGGGGGAACATACAATGTTTCTCTTTCATAGTCTGGCTTGCTTCCCTCAGCATTAAATCTTCCCTATTTGTCAACTTTTTTTTTTTTTTGAGAGGTTTTTGCTATAGGGCGCGTGTGCTTACCAGACAGACACAGACAAAAAGCGAGAAGTCCCCCCCCCAGGGGGGATGGCCATGCCGCAATCCCTTCTCTTCCGTTCTCCTCTCAGGATCTTGGACATGCATGCACACGTGCCTGGCGTGAGTTTTAAGCCACCGGGTCCAGGACGCGAACCGCGGTCGACTACATGGGAGTCCAGCGACATAGCCATTACACTAACTGCTGGTCCCATATTTGTCAACTTTTAATCAAATGCCAGGGTTTCATTGTTTTTTATGTTTGAATAGTATTCCATAATGTATATGTGCCACATTTTTTCAGTCCATTCATCTGTTGGGTTGATTCCATGTTTTAGCAATTGCAAATGATGCTGCAATAAACATAGATGTGCAAATACTTTCCAACTGAGTGTATTCCTATCCTTTGGGGGTAAATACCCAGGAGTGGAATTATTGGATCATATGGTAGCTCTTTTTTGTAGGTTTTTGAGGAACCTCCATATTGTTCTCCACAGTGGCTGTACTAATTTACATTCCCACCAACAGCGTGAGAGGGTTCCCTTTTTACCGCAGCCTAATCAGCACTTATCATTTTTTTATTTTTTGAATCTTAGCCATTCTGACTAGGGTTAGGTGGTACCTCACTGTGGTTTTGATAAAGGTTGTTGAGCATTTTTCCATAAGTTTTTTGACCGTTCACATGTCTTCCTTGGAGAGTTGTCTATTCAACTTGTTTTCCCATCTTTCATATTTGGAGCTGGTTAATTCTTTGTTGTAGTGAGTTGTCTTGTGTATTATATGGTATCTAGCAAAAATCTCTGACCTCTACTTACTACATGCCAGAAGCACCCCTCCAGCCTTGTCTTCAGACATTGTCAAATGTACCCAGGGAGCAAAAGTACCTCTGGCTAACCATTGATCCCATTGGAGGTGATCAGAGCTATCTCTGAACTCAGTTTCCATCTCCTTATCTATATACATCTACTGTCTTCATTAACAGAAAATTTAGTTCTATGGATGACTGGAGTAAGTGATGTTGGCAGCAATCCAGACTTGAAATAAGAAATTAGAGGGATTTCACAGCAATCAGTTGATAGTAAAATTCCATTGACTTCTTTTGAAGCCCTTACATTTAATCTCTTTCAATTAGTTTTAGAAAATAGAAGCAAGAGAAAATCCTGGCCCTATGGTTATTTAGTTATTTGCATCTTCCAGAAACAGAGGAAAAAATATCTTTCACAATTTTGAAAGAACATAATGGTAATGAAGTTCTGTAGAAGGAAGGAGCTGAACTGAGGGGGTGAATGTGTGATAGTTTTGTTAGCTTTTCCACCAACAGACTTTTCTTTTAAATTCTTTGTTACATTGCCATGGTCTCACTAACATTCTTGGGAAATCAGGGCACAGCCAGAACATTTGGCAGCCTGCTGGTGTTCTACTCCGATATTTCTAGAACATTTGGCTACATGGTGGGTGGGTTCCACCTGGCTGCTTGTATAAAATTGGTATCATGGTGCAGCGAGATGGACACAAAAGCACATGACATAGTATGGGAGCCTTTCAGGCTGGCATTTTATCAGTTTGCTGTGCACATTCTTTTACTTTCAGAACGTGGCTGACATTAAGAAACTGAAGTCAGTAGGAATCTGTACCATTAAAGGGATACAAATGACAACCAGAAGAGCTCTGTGCAATGTCAAAGGCCTCTCAGAAGCCAAAGTGGACAAGATTAAAGAGGCAGCCAACAAACTTATTGTAAGCAAAATTCATTCTTTGCTGTTTTAGTTTAGAAATGCCTTTTGAATTCTTTGTAGCATTCCTATTTATAAGCATTAGAAACTATTGTGGGAACTGTGAGTTCCTATGGATCACAGTGTCTTATACTGCCCATGTTAACTTTTTATCACTACAGTTTCAAAGTAACACAAATTAATTTCTAAAGATTGAGGTAGGGGTTAAGAGACGTGGAACACTCATGAAGGTAATTATTTTTGTCAAAACTTTTCTTTTTGTCTCCCTTTATATTACCATTTTCTGGCTTTCTGTTTCTCTGCCTTTTCTTCTCCTTTTCAAGATTTTTTTTTTGGTGTTTTTTTTTGCTGTTGTTTTGTTTTGTTTTGTTTTTTACCTTCCTCCTCATTATGTTTTTGTACCTCCTTAAATGTTATACCTACAGCTGTTGTGAAACACTCAGTACTAGAGAAGTGACTATTTCCTGAAATAGGACAATTGTAGGAGAGCAATGAGCTAGAAAAGGATTGAAACAGTTGGGTCTACATGTGTGCAGTTGAGATAGAGATGACCAAGAATACACTCACTAGGTGGTTGACCTACAGTAACTTATACCCTCTAGCTAGGCCCACAAACTGTAAGAGAACTCATGCTACTGCCAGGCTTAGACAACAGTGTATATGACTCTAACTCAAGAGTTTGTGTACAGCTTTTGGAGACCACTAGTGTGGAAGGGCGCATATTAGATCTTGCATATTAGATCTCGTCCATTTTGTTCCCTTACCCCAACATGGCTGGCTGTTTCTGTAAACCTGCTTGCTCTTCCG